TTTTTTTTTTTACAAGTGCATCCAGGATGTTCCTTAGATGCAATGATGAAGCTTCGTCTCAGATACCTTGGACATATTGTTAGGAGGGTTGCTCCTTGTACATCACGCTTGGAGAGTAGGGTCCTCAGCAAGATGAATTGCACGGTGATTGCAGCAAAAGGCTCAAGCATGTCAGAGATGACGATAATGGCACAGAATAAGACAGGGATTAGATCTCTTGTTTGTATGGTCTCTATGAGTTGTACTTGACTTGATGGCACCTAACAAAAGCAGCAGCTCTATCAAGAAAGCATCTATTCCAAAACATGATCATATTTATAGATACAGAGGTTAAGATATCAGCATAACATTTTAGGGGCACAATTCAATCCTTAAAAGCCTCTTCCTTTTCTACCTCTGAAATCTCATGAGTATACGTACCCTTCACTCATACGTATCTGAACAATCTTTAAACATAATCTACATTCCACATTTACACATATCTATGTCCTCCTTAATCTTCCCTGTCCTGCCTTCACTGAGTACTGGTGGTAAAATCTTGCCTCTGATGGTTGCCTTTTCCAGTAAAAATGAAAACTGTAGCTTAGATCAGTTCTGGGATTTTTTGTGAGGCTACACCTCATTCGTCTTTGGCACATTAAAAAATTATAGGCATATTATTTTCTTTCCTCCCTCACCTTGGAAGCTAACTGAGGAACATGGCTATCTTAGATTGTAGTCCTCAATATCTAATTATTAGGTACCTCCCGTACCTCCTTTGTGCCTAGGGACTGGTTCTTGTGGTGTGAATTTATCCAGCCCAGTTGTATGAAGATAGACTGGCTTCTCAAACCAGGACCGTCACACACAATGGGGCCCCAGACCCTGTTGTTGTCTTTCAACGTGATAGATGGGGTGCATGTGTTTTGCCTGTTGTCCTCTAGTCATTCCCTGGCATGTGCTCGGGGAGCAGCATCATGCAGACAGTTCAAGCCTTTTCCTACCTGAGCAGCTAACTAAAGCTCTCTGTCTGGACTTTTAGTTACCATATGCCTTTTCTCCTTTCTCATGAAATGATCCATTCTGCAGCTGTCTCTTTCTCCTTTAATTTCAAGATAAGACCATCCTATTGGACCGACCTCTGGCTGCCTGACGGAAAAGCATAGTGTGCTTAGAGTTAGAGCTGGACTGGCCCCGCTTGCCTTGGGCTACAGTCCATCTGTGAGGATTTTCTCTATTTGACAAAAAGATACCTCCATTCTGACTCTCAGTTTCTATTTGAACAGGCTGGATGTCAACACGAATGCCTACACATCTGAGGATCTTAAGAGTGCACTGGCAAAACTCAAGGAGGGGACAAAATTGGAGAGTTCAAAGGAAGACAAAGTGAGTGATATTCTTCTCTGAGGCTCAGCATAAGCCTGAAGTTGAGCCTTGGTTTGGTTTGTTTTTTTTTTTAACAATTAAGAGAATAGCTTTTTCTTGAAATTTTTATCATAAATAAGCAATAATAATACTAATTATAGAAAATAATTTATAGTACAGTAAATGCCATGTAAGTAACCTTTTAGTACACTATTTTTGAAAAAATATTGGGAGCATTTATGATATATGTAAGAATCCAACTTTCTGTTGTATAACTGGAGATACTGAGGAACAGAGATATAACATACTCCATTGACATAGACATAGATTGCTAATAGCTTCAGCTTGCTGATTCTACAATCAACACTCTTTGCTCCAAATTCATGAAAAGATTAACTATACTGGAAAAATCTGCTATCAGGAACCTCTCTAGAGTACTGAAGAACGACAATATCAGTCTGGAGACTAAGGTGCGCCTGATATGGGCCATGGTCTTCACAATTGCTACGCATCTGAGAGCTGGACAATGACTAGAGATGATAGAAGAAGGATTGATGCTGTTGAGTTGTAGTGCTTGAGAAGAGTGTTGAACATACCGTGAACTGCCAGGAGAACAAACAGGTCTGTCCTGGAGAGGGTGAAACCAGACTCCTGCCTGGAGGCAAGGATTTTGGGCTCCATCTCACATATTTTGGGTACATGGCCAAGAGGGACCAGTCCTTGGAGAAGGACATCATGCTTGGAAGGGTAGAGGGACAGTACAGAAGGGAAAGACCCAGAATAAGATGTTATGGCTTAGTGACTGTAGAACTGGGATTAGGTCTGTTGGAGAAAATGAGGTTGGTCAAGATAGGGCAGATTTCAGAAATAATGTCCCTGAGGTTGCCATGAATCGCAGGTGACTCAATGACAGATAACAACAAAGAGATAACTGGAAAATACATCCTTGGTTGTCTTATAATTAAACACAAGCATATTCTAAAAGAACAGAAGGTGAGAGTCCTGGGTATTTACATTTGGCTTTGAATCTGAAGCAAATTCATTCCCTTTTCTGGTCTTCAGATTCCTTAAACAGAGAACGTGGAACTAAAATAGAGTATAGCAGGTTTTCCCTCCATTTTTAACTTACAAGTTCAGGGAATGAGAAGGGGAAAGCAGAATTATAGTAGACAGATAATGCATAGCCCCTAGGCTGTATCTCCAATATGAGATGGTTCCTAGGTTCACTCTATACCAGAAAGAGATATTGCAGTTAGATGGATCATGAACTCAACTAATAGCGAGAGAATGTCACAAGTAATTTCTTTACACTCCAGTTGAGTCTTGTTAGTTCTTCACAGATCCTTCTCCAATGGCCACCTTGAAGACCATGCTAAATTATTTCTCCCTCTTATCCTCCTCACTTTTTTCTTGGCTTTTACCCTCCTCCTAGAATCCTGGTGGCAGTATGACCCTGCACTAGATCTTTGACAACTTATGTGCTAGTGGAGACAAACTTGGATCCTTCAAATATTTGGAAATTAAACATTAATGGGATAAATAAACCTCTTCTTTTGGCAGAATTTGGAAGGAGAGTGTTTGACCTATTTAATTTGTGTTAATATGCAAGCCAGATCTCCAGGTCTTTACTCATTTTACTGAAGTCACATTTTCCGGTATGGGAAGTGTATATTGTGTGGGAAGGTATAAGCAGGCTAGCAGTAGCAACAGCAGAGGGTGGAGGATGATGCAAACGAAGAAAGATGATGTGACAAATTCTATCTTGTCACTGTGCATTAGCTGAAGCAGGAGAGGAAAAGCAAGTCTTCTACCTGGTGAAGGTGAGGCCAGGAATGGTAAGAGCAGTGATTGCCCAAGTGTCTAGAGTAGTGAGTTGTATTCCTGGGGTCAGGGATTGAACTCCTGCCCACTCACCAGCTCCTCAAGTCCCCTTTCCCATGTGTTCCATAGGAGACTGCTGGGAATATGAAAGTTAGCTCCTTTCCTGTCTTTTCTACACAGAAAAGATCAATCCTACCCTTTCTTCTTCTTTACTTATTTTTTTAGAAGCTTAATAGATTTTCTTTTTACAGGAAATAGCATCTTTGTATTTTTTCCTTATAATTGTTAGGATAGAAAATTATGAATATTTATGAAAAGATTTAAAAAGTGTGAAAGGGATTATTTAATAGCTTTCAGTTGCTGTTTTTGTAATAAAAAATAATCTTGTAACCCTTGCATGGGGAGATTTCTGTGCCAGGAACTAAATGAAATATCCAAGAACTATCTGAGTTGGGGCAGATGCCCATTTCTAAAGTATTACTGTTCACTCTGTTTCTTTAGTTCTTTGAGCTTATTTTATTGTTAGCTGATTCAGTGAGATGCTGGACCCTGAAGTCCTTCTCCCATGTCTCTTCCGCGCCTGTCTGAACTGACTGACTCAGCCCATTGCTAGTATGCTGCCAGAGATGCCTGTAGGAAGGGGAAAATCAACTGACTTGAAGTAGGTTGGTGAATTTCTTACATGTGTCAAGTTCTTGGCTACTGATGCAAACATATTTTATGTTTACCAGTCTTTAAGCTCAGACTGTATGGCAGTTTGCAAGGCAAGAGGTGGTTTGCTCTTTATAAAGACAATACTTTCTAATATTGGGCCACATCCTGTTGGTCAAATGATTTTTCCCCCCTGAATTTGAGTTTTTTGGTGAAGGATATCACTTGCATTTATCCAGTAGTAATCTTAATAGATTTGAGTGCATCAGTCCTATCCAGAGTCTTTTGCTCTGAAAAGAAAACCTTTCCTCACACAACAGATTTGGGCTCTTGTTTTTGAGTCTTGTCCACTTATTCCTCTATTAGCATGCTTAATGGTTTTCTGTTTTAAAATGTCAGTTGTTGTTCTTCTCTGTCATACAAATTGGTCCATTTAAACAATTTGGCTTTCCTGAGCTGTTGTGAAACAAGATGTAGTAGACTCATTTCTCCCTATTTTTCATGCTAAAAATGAATAAAACTTTGCCTGTTACAGTAAAAGAAAATATAAGAAGACACTGGAAGGTAGAATGAAAATGACAGACTAAGTTGCCTCCTGCCAGCCATCATATATGTGTGTGGTATTTTACTCTGATAGAGAGTCTTTAATTCTACTTCCACTTGATGGCAACAAGATTGTATGGGGAAGCTTCTCACTTTCTTCAGTGGGGCAATGTCATTTGTTCTGAATGTGGATCTTTGGACTCTTTTAGATACTGGCCATGAAACAGCACCTCACTTCCTCCCCAGGTTGGTATCATTGAAGGCCAGGAGAGGAAGCTGGATGGTCACTCTGTTAGGACTTGAATTGTGTTCTTCAAACATAAGTTTTTACAATTTTAATCCCTTTACCTGTAGTTATAATTCCATTTTTAAGTAGACTTTTTTGTTATGTTAATGAGACCATATTAGGATAAGGTGTGTTTTGTTGTTAGGTGCCCTAGAGTCTTGAGTTCAACTCATAGTGACTCTATGAACAACCAATCTGGACACTGTCCTAATTTATTGCCATCCTCACATTCAAGTCTATTGCTACAATCACTGTGTCAACAACTTATCTTTCTCTCTTTACCCACCCTCTGTCCCCACTTCCCAAGCATGATGTTCATTTCCAAAAAATAACCTCTCTTAGCAACATACCCAAAGTGTATGACATGAAGATTCATCATCTTTGCCTCTAAGGAGTCCTTTGGCTGCACTTTCTCCAAGACATATCTGGGGTTTTTTTGCTGGTCCATGGGGTCTTCAGCCCTTTCTCCAACACCACCGTTCAAGGACATCAATTCTTCTTCTCTCATTCTTAGTCATTGTCCAGCTATTAGATGCAGAGCAAGTGACTGAAAAGACTGTGGCCTGAATCAGGCACACATTTGTCCTCAAACTGACATTTTTTTAAAATTAATTTAGTTTGTTTTATTTTTCATTTCAATGAACATCTACAGAGATTTTGGAATTCCATTCATTCATTGTTGCACACTTCTCCCCGCAAACCCCCCCCCCCGTTTGCTCCTCTCCTTGAAAAGCAAAAGAAAAACTCCCTCATTGGTGCTGGGGGGATTGTGACATCATTACTCCTCAGTAATTTTGAGAGGTTTCTCACTACCGACTTTCCCAGTACAATACATCTCCTGATCTCCTGACTGCTGGTACAAAGTGTATTAATTGTGGATCCAAGTAGGATGAAGGTGTTGACAGTTTGAATCTTTTCTCCATCTATCATGATGTTGCAAGTCCATTGGTGAGGATTTTTGTTTTCTTGATGTTGAGATGTGATCTATATTGAAGACTGCAGTGTTTAACCTTCTGCAGCTGGTGCTTCAAGTCATCCTCACTTTCAGCAAGCAAGGTTGTGCTATCCACATAACAAAGATTATTAATGTGTCTTCTTCCAATCTTGATGCCACATTTTTCTTTATAGAGTTCAGCTTCTTGAATAATTTGCTCATTATACAGATTAAATAGGTATAGAGAAAAGATACAACCCTGTTGCATACCTTTCCTAATTTTAAGCCACATAGTGTTCCCTTGCTCTGTTCATACAGCAGTCTTTTGATCTAGCATGAGCACAATTAAGTGTTTAGACATTCCATTCTTCTCAGTGTTAGCCATAATATATTATGATCCACACAGTCAAATGCCTTTGCATAATCAGTAAAGCACAAATAGGCATTCTTCTGGTATCCTTTACTTTCAGTCAGGATCCATCTGACATCAGCAATGATATCCCTGGTCCTATGGCCTCTTCCAAACCCAGCTTGAATTTCTGGCAATTCTCTGTCTATGTACTGTCCTAACCATTTTTGAATGAGCTTCAGCAGTATTTTGGTACATGTGATACTGATGATATTATTTTATAATTTCCCTAGTATGTTGGATCACCTTTCTGGGGAATGGAAATAAACATTGAACTCTTCCAGTCTGTTGGCCTACAAATTTCCTAGCATAGACTGGTGAGCACATCCATGGATCGCACCATATGTCTTAGTCAATCTTTTTTAACTGAGATATGA